CGAGGCAAAGTTTTAAAGGTATTCTGTAGAGAGGGTCCAAAAGATTCTGTTGAAACAATTGGTACATCTCCACACCAAAATAAAGGTTTGACAGTAGCATGCCTATCCAGATCTTTGCTAACTGTATTTAGTAATCAGACATAAAAATGGCAGTAAAGGCACAATGATATGGGCTTTAATATGTGCTAAGAAGCACATATTAGGTACAACTCCCATAAGACCCTGGTTCTATCCTGTGGTTGTGGGCACATGCTAAAGCCTGTGCTACCACATTTTCACTTCTATTATATCACCCATGTTAGCTATATCAAGCTAGCACAAGTAAGTTGGAATGTTATAAACACACCTGAACTTTCCTGGGTGAACATACCCATTGTTTGATGAAAAATTGTCAATTCGGGAAATATGAAGTGAGATCTGCTGGTCCAGTGAAACTCAAGTAGGGTTCCAATGAAAATCTGCCTGGTTTCAGATCAGTTTATCCACCCAGGTCCTCAAGAACCAGCCTTATGGGAAACTAGAGGCCCCAAAGCTTACAAGATCATTGCTTTAATGTTTACATTACTCCACCCTGGTAGCTGACTGATGGCTGGAAATGCTAGAGTTTCTGTAGTCTGTGATACAGCAGTAGCACATTTAGACTGCACTACCAGCAGGAAATCATTCCCCATCTTGAGAATTTTGAATCTGGGGATTTCATTCCAACTGAAATGGCACCCATTGTCAAGGTATTGAAAAATTCCATGAGATGGAATTACCTTTTGCCTTGTTAGGAAAGCCAGCCACATCCTTATCCCCTGCCCCCACCCCCCGACCTTCAATTGTCAATGCCCATTCAAATATTTAAATGTCTAGAATATGAAAAATACATGCAGATCCACGGAGACCAGGTTCTTTAAAAATGAGAGAAGAGTATTACCATAGTGATCAGGGGCAGTGCTAGGAGCCTATATAAAATGTTTCTTAGTGCAAACATAGTCAGTGCTGTCGACCAAAAGTACTTCAAATATTGTATGCTTCTTTTTTAGTCTGTTGTGGAAGAGGAGGAAGTAGAATTGAGGTAGAGAATAAAAATGTTTGCTCTGGGTGATAATAGTCTGGCACTCTGAATGTATTGCTGTGTCTGAAGTCATTCCTTGATTGTAATCTAAGTAGCCAATACCAATAAATACACTGGGGCAGAACTGGCTCGCTGCTCCCACCAAGCAGACCAAGCACGGCAACCCCAGAGTGCCCAGTGGCATCAATGCTTCCCACCACCAGTTGGACCAGCTTGCTGCTTGAGTTCCAAATGGCCCGATCCTTTTTTTCTCTGGAGTCTGCTCCCTTGTTCTGCCCCCAGTGAGGCTGCTGGCCAGCCAGGCACTGCCTGAGCTCTGAGGGGCCTGATCACTTTTTTGTCTGGAGGTCACCCCCTCCCCTCACCTCCCAATGCCACTGCCAGCAGGAGCAGTGAGCTGGTCCAGGCAGCAGCAAGAGGAATCATGATGGCCAGGCACTCCAGGGTTGTGGCACTCACTGTGCCCAATGAACCTGGAGGGCAAAGCACCATGCTTGGCCCTGCTGCACCCTGGCATCTCCACTCACCCTGACTCAAGAGGGGTCACTGCATCCTGGGATGCTGGAGGACTTCAGTTTAGGATAAGCGCTCCAGAAGCTGCCTAAAATTACTGTGTAACAAGGCCCTAACAATAACACTACACACCAGGCACTATCCTCTCCCTTCTCCAGAGCTCTTTCTGAACCTGAGACACCAGCATAGTCATTGGAAAAAACTTAATGAGTGCAGTAAAGAGGGAAGTTTCTGCCCTAGTTGCAGCAAGATCCCAGACCATAATCTAGTATCCCCCTTTTTAACAGGTCAGCAGTGACCTTACTGAGCCACACACACTCTGTCTTACTTTTGTCTTCCTCTGGACATGTAAATGCCAAAAATACCCTGTAGATGACCATGAAAGAATTGAATGTTAGCCACAGAACTTACCACCTCTTACAGCCTATCCCAACATTTCACTGATTATGCACAAGACAGAATTTCAAAAAAGGAGGGAGAGGTATGGAATTAATTTCTGGCCATGAATTAAATTAAAACTATATGTAAATCTATAGTTTACATATGTGTGTGTATATATATGTGTGTGTGTTTATATGTTGATATGTATATAAATACATTTAATTTTCCCTTCCAAGGTCTGTTGGATTGTCTCAACAACAATTTATGGCAAATGCAGAATGGGGAAATCAAACATCCATTATGGAATTCATCCTTCTGGGATTTGGGGATTTCCCTGAACTGCACATTCCTCTCTTCCTGGTTTTTGTAGTGATCTACATTGTGACCATGGCTGGGAACATCCTCATCATTGTGCTGGTTGTGGCTAATCAGCACCTTCATACCCCCATGTACTTTTTCCTGGGAAACTTGTCCTGCTTGGAGACATGCTACACCTCTACCATCCTGCCCAAGATGCTGATCAGTTTGATGACTGGGGATAGAACCATTTCTATTAATTGTTGCATCTTACAATTTTATTTTTTTGGTTCTCTGGCAGCTACAGAAAGTTATCTACTTGCCATGATGTCTTATGATCGATATTTAGCAATATGCAAACCTCTGCGTTATGCAGTTCTAATGAATAATAAGTACTGCCTTCAGCTTGTTTCTGGTTCTTGGATAAGTGCTTTCTTAGCCAATTTCTCAGTTATATTTTTGATGTCGCAATTATTTTTTTGTGGCCCTCATGAAATTGACCATTTCTTTTGTGATTTCACTCCAGTTGTAAAACTTGCTTGCAGTGACACTCACCCAGTTGAAATCGTTACTTTCTTCATGGCTTTTATATTCACCATAACTCCATTTATGTTAACTCTGTCATCCTACATCTATATCATGATTGCCATCCTTAGAATTCCTTCTGCCAATGGGAGGCAAAAAGCGTTTTCCACTTGCTCTTCTCACCTCATTGTTGTGATCATTTTCTATGGAACAATAATAATTGTCTATATGCTACCAGATACCAAAACACTGAGAGACCTGAACAAAGTGTTCTCTGTCTGCTACACTGTTCTCACTCCACTGGTCAATCCACTCATCTACAGCCTAAGAAACAAAGAAGTACACAAAGCTCTGAGGAGTGTTCTCCCTAGATTGAGAGCTTTTCTAAGAGCTAAAACAATCAAGTTCGATCCTCTTAAGTTCCAGTGACAGAGGGACACTTTCTTATGGCTGAACAAATCAAAAAATAAAAAATCAAGGTAGTTCCTAGAAGTGACTACCCCATCTCACCTTCTTGTGCCTAAGTGGCATTGGCATAGTTTAAATTGAATTCCATGTTGCTACATTCACCCTGCACTTCCCTTCTGAGCATACTCAGTAGGCTGCACAAGTTCTGGGACAAATGCAAAACACATTGTAAGTTCTAGAACTTGTTCACAGGAAAGACACAACTAGTGAGTACAAAGATGAGAACCATCCTACTTCTGTGCTGCTCCCAAGGGAGCAGAAAACCTCACACCTCAGGCCTGCTTGTTCAAAATAGATTTGAACAAACTCCATTCACTAGAACATAATCTAGACACTAGTAAAAACATTCTTCATCCTTCCTCTCAAATGCGGTCCGCTGGGTAAACATGAGGGGAAAGTATGTAGTGCCAGGAGGAGAGAGAGAAAGCAGAGGGAGAGAGGATGAGTGAAATGGATTCTGCCTTCTAGTGGGGCAGAGCTGACTGTTGTTTATCTGTTTATTGCATAAATAGCAAATGCAAATTAGAGCAGCCTACCTCCAAAAGGAGGTCAGGTGACTAGGGCTGTGTGTAGACAAAACGAGGGGCATGTGTGCGTAAAGATCAAATTGGCATCTGTGCCGCACGCGCTGTTACGAGCATGGTCAAGCCGGAGACCACCCCTCCCCCCAATCATGCGCTGTGACGTAATCAGACGCGCGCTGATCATGCGCTGGTCATGCGAACGATGCATGATCGCCTGGAAAGTTCCTTGAACGACGGCCTCTAATTGGCTCAGGAGAAATCCTGGCGGAGTGGCAAGGTATTTAAGCCCTGCCCGGCAGTTGCTCGGGGAGACCACCATTCCACCGCAACCTGAGCTGACCTCGTGGTTCGTTAGGGCTGATCACCCCGACTGTCTCCCGCCGCTGTTCCCTCAGGCATACCCCACTTGTTCCGGACCGTCTCATTTCCGATTCACAATGTGTAACGCAAGCGAATTCTGGTGTCCTCACCTCCGTTGTCTGCCAACTACTGTTATAGGGGCGTGAGTAAATAAACGTTGTTATTTAAAACCATTATGCATCCGAGCCTTCCTCATCCCATAAATCAAGATCTGCCATGAACCGGAGGGTGCCACAAGGCCCCTCTCATGGTGCAGGACATGGCGTCATGAACAGGATCTGGTGGGGATGATGGAAAGATACAGCGTGACCTAATCCGCTACTGCCCGTGGTCGAATGGCACACGGCTGTTAGTAAACCATGATGATTTATGGGCCCACATAGCATATCATCAAGCTAGCGGCCCCGCAGCGAGGGAAGAAATCTCCGGTTACCTATCACTAACGACCGGGGGAAAGGAGTGGAACATGACCTTGAGCCCTGCTGCGTTCGGGTGTGTCATGAGCTCCCCGAAAGTTATGTTCTGGGCCTGTGAGGTGTGTGGCACGCTAAGCCTCGTGAGAGTTAACCCCGCAGGTACAGTCAACCCGACCCCGGCGCAAGAATTTGCCCGGTATATGTGCCATGTAAGAGAAGGAGGGGAGAGCACTCCCGTCGATAAGTTTAATTGCCCGGCCCTGAGGGAGGGGTCGCGCGGACATGAGCTGCTTGCTCAGTGTCGCGAGCGTCTGGAGTCTGATAGGCGCACTGCCACCAAGTGGGGCGGACCAAAGTGGGACAAAGGGAAAATGTTAAACGTCCTGTTCCGTGAGTTTGTGGGCCTCTTGTGTGAAAATGTGGACCTGGGAGCACAAGTAGAGACGCTGCCTCACCAGTGCCACAACGGGCTCCCAGGAGAGGGAGACGCAATGCCCTCACCCACTGAATCAAACGACGACCCGCTCACAGAGGCACTCAATCCATCGCCATCCACGCCACCGCCATATGACCCGGAAGCCAAGGGGGAACCCCAGGAGATCTATCCGCTGCTCGACCTGCCCGCAGCCATGCCGGTGATCGTCACCAAAACTGTGGTCGATGGAGCCGGAGTCCCTCGTACCACCACGTCGTGGTGCACCCGTAACCACGCGGCGATGCAGGAGCTGATGAAAGAAACTGTTATTAGGCCCCACGAATCGATAATTGGCTGGTTGGGCCGCATCTTTCTCGAGTGGGAAAGGGTCGATTATGAAGAATCTTATTCACAGTGGCGCCTGGAGCCGTGGCACTGTCATTGATCCAGCTCGTTTAGCGGCTAACACGGCGTGGCCTATTCCGCTTGCAGCCGCGATAACCCAAGCCTTGGATAATAAAAGCCACCTGTGGCACAGCAGTGCAGAGCCTGGAAAATATGACCCCGACTTGCTCGTTTATGCCGTCGCTGGGATTTCATATTGCATTTGGAACGCCACCCTGTTCCCTCGGGGAGGCCTCACACAGGCACAAGCCAATGGCCCATGGGTACATCACTACAACCCAGACCCCGGAAACGTCCCGATTACTCCCACTGCTGTCAAAGCCGCCATCGAAGTATACGGAGGGGCGCACCAAATCCTACTTCAATTAATGCTTACGGGGATCGTGGGACAACCAGTGACATCTGTCCTTGCCCATTCACACAAGCTACAAGCCCTGAAAGATACGAAGAGTGCAATCGCGCCGGTGCAAGCGCTCACGGTTGCCCCGCAGCAGTCGAATCCTAAACCTATGTCTCGCCTTCCACCAAGGCCCAACGTTGGATCTTCGTGACCACCGGATCGCTTGCCCCATGAACGGGCCATGTTTGGGTTCTTGCTGAACCACTCCGGGCTTACCAAGGGCACTATCAGGCTCAGTGATGAAGAGCAACAACTGCTAGCAGATCACATGGGATTCGATTGGCAAGATGGTGGTCTTCCAAAAAACTGACTGTTGCCGTTGGATCTGCGGCGTCTGACGATTTGCGACCTTACAGCCACTTCACTGTTTGTCACCCCCAGTGGTTGCAACCTTCATGCAGAGTAAAATTTCTCTTGGACACTGGCGCCCAAGTTAACGTTACTCGCCCTGACGTCCCGCACATACCCACCAAAGCTACCATGTTCATCCGAGGCTTAAATGATACGAAACAGAGCAAGGTAGTGTGCTTCTGGGTAAAAGGGTAAGACCAACACATCATAGCAGTCTTAGGGGACGTCAGTCTTCTCGGGATACCCAGTCTACGTCAGCTGCGACTCAAACAGCAAGTTGTCTCTGCACTACCCGTCACACAAGTGAATCTGCCGCATGTCCCCTCGCTGAACTCGACCAGACCGTGGAAATATAGACCTATCCCAATGAAAGAGCCACTCCGTGTTCCGTTAAAGGCTTTGCTCAAACGCCTGAAAAATGAAGGGAAGATTACCCTGGTTACTGCTTCAACTTTCTTGTCGCCCGGGTGGGGCCTAGCGAAGGCTCACCAACCCAGAGCTGTGCGCCTAGTCATCAACTATCGAGAGGCAAATAAGCGCTGTTCCCTGCTTGCCACGCCATATGTTCTCTCTCTCCCCACAACACTGGACCAGATGCGAAAGCACCAAGCCGCCAAGTGGTGGGGAACCACCGTGGACTTAAAGGATATGTTTTACTCAATTAACATCAACAATCATCTCGGTATCCTTAACATGGCCATCGACAGGCAGATGTTTAAATGGAATGTCTGCCCCCAAGGCTACTGTAACGCACCTGCCCTTGCGTGTGGCGCCATTGCCAACACCCTTGCAAGATTTCAGAACCCCCATCCTGATGTACGAATTTGGAGCTATGTCGACGACCTAGCCGTCATGGGCCAAGACGAACAACAAACTGCCTTCACGACAAGGTTGCTCGTTCAACACCTCACCCAGCAAGGATGGACAGTAAATGCCAAAAAGTCCCAGCTTGTGCCGCAAACCCACATCACCTTCTTAGGGTTCAAGCTCGACGAAGCGCAGTTTCGAACGATGACTAGTGATGATCCACCACTCACGCGCTGGTTACAGAACCCACCCAGCACTAAACAGGACTTCCAGCAGTTACTTGGAGAACTTGGCTGGCGGCGCCATTTCGTTGACCCTGAACACCTGTCCACAGTAGCGCACATTCAGTCCCAGATCCGCAGCAAGTCACGCAAGTCCTCACCATGGACTCTGAAAGATACACGTGACCTACAACGCCTCTTGACTGCCCTGGCGACCACGTCCCTCATGGCATGGAACCCATCGTCCTGACTCGAAGTCCATGCCGGGTATACAGCTACCCACATTTTTGTGTCAATCCATAACGAGCAAAACCAGCTCTTTCACTGTGCCCACAGGACCCTGCAGGTGACCCAACATCGGTATGGTGTCAACGGCAAACACTTGTCAGCTCTACAACTCGCCTCCACGTATTCTGAAGGAACTGGGAAAATCTGCTGTCCCAGAGCCTCGCTGTTGCCCCTGTTGAGCTCTGAGCGCCCCGACCTCGCTTTCCAAGGCGATGATAAGACCTGGACTCACTTGGTCCTCCAGTATCACTATGATTGGCACGGTTGGGACCACCAAGACACCGCCCCCTCGCCAGCCTCAACGCCAAAGTGACCCATTTTATACGGCACCACCGAAGGCGGGTGGATGGCATCAAATAGGTCCACAAAGTACGATCATTGTTACGGCTTTTACTGTGAACCATGCGCCCGGACAGAAGCCTGGCTGGGATCCATGGAAGACAGTGCACAATGTTTGGAGCTCCTAGGATTCCAAGCCATGATAGAACACTGTTATGCCTGCCATGATGACGTTCAGCCCACCCCAGTAATGGTCATAGATAGCAGATACATATACGGGGTCGTAATGGGCATCGCTAACCCCACCGAAAACACCAAGGTATGGGAAGTAATCTTTTCCCAATCAGAAGAATTCAAGCAGCTCCCGCTTATCAAACGCACTCGGTCATACCAGTCTAACACCAACCCTGTTCACGCCTATATTTACAAATATCTGCAAAGCCCTTGCTGTATGGCTGCCACCACCCTAACAACGCTTGACAGTGATCACCTGGT